TTGTGCAAAAGTTCATTTATTTCAGTAATGCAACTTAAAAGGTGAAACTAATATATGAGATAGACTTATTACATGCAAAGCAAGATAGTTCAAGCCGTGATTTGTCATCATTGTGATGATTATGCCTTACAGCTCATGAAAACCCCAAATCCACAATCTCAGAAAATGAGAATATTACATGCAATCAATAAAACAAGGATTGTACATAGAACAATATCGGACCTCTGAAAAGTATAAGCATGCATATGTACTCAGTACTTGGTTTGGGCCCCTTTTGCAGCAATTACTGCCTCAATGCGGCGTGGCATGGAAGCTATCAGCCTGTGGCACTGCTGAGGTGTTATGGAAGACCAGGATGCTTCAATAGCGGAGTTCAGCTCTTCTGCATTGTTCGGTCTCAGGTCTCTCATCTTTCTCTTGGCAATGCCCCATAGATTCTCTATGGGGTTTTTCTTTAGCCCAGGTAAGACGCTTCTGCCATTGTTTGTTGTTCAGGAGCAGCTTGACAAGACGAATATGACATTTGAAGCCCATGTCCAGGATCCGTCTGTGTGTGGTGGCTCTTGATGCACTAACTCCAGCCTCAGTCCACTCCTTGAGAAAGTCCCCAACACTTTTGAATGGCCTTTTCCTGACAATCCTCTCCAGGCTGCGGTCATCCCTGCTACTTGTGCACCTTTTTCTTCCACACTTTTCCCTTCCACATAAATTTTTATTAATGTGCTTTGATACAGCACTTTGGGAACATCCAACTTCTTTTGCAATTACCTTTTGAGGCTTTCCCTCCTTATGGAGGGTGTCAATGATGGTTTTCTGCACAACTGTCAGGTCAGCAGTCTTTCCCATGATTGTGATTCCTACTGAACCAGACTGAGAGACCATTTAAAGGCTCAGGAACCCTTTGCAGGTGTTATGTCTTAATTAGCTGATTAGAGTGGGATACTTTGAGCCGAGAATATTGCACCTTTTCACAATATTCTCATTTTCTGAGATTGTGGATTTGGGGTTTTCATGAGCTGTAAGCCATAATCATCACAATGATGACAAATCACGGCTTGAACTATCTTGCTTTGCATGTAATGAGTCTATCTCATATATTAGTTTCACCTTTCACCTTGCATTACTGAAATAAATTAACTTTTGCACGATATTCTAATTTTTTGAGTTTCATCTGTATAATTGAGCACCCTCTACCGTGGGGACAGACCTCTCATTTGGTTAGGCATCCTCCATGAGGGTGATGATTCTCTCATTTGGTTGAGCTCTCACCCTGTGGCTGATGAGTCTGTTGTTTTATCGAACCTCTCCATGAAATTGCTAGGCCACTTTTTTCATTGAGCCTCTGCCTAAGACTGATGATTACGTCATTTGACTGAGATCCTTCTTGAGGTTAATATACCTTTTGTTCAGTTGAGCTCCCTCCCTGAGAGTGATAGGCCTCTTGATTTGCTGAAATCCTCTCTGAGGGTAAATCATCTTCTCGGTGGTAAAACCCCATTCTTGAGAATGACATGTCTCTCATTTAGGTATGCCTAACTCTGGGGTTGATGGGTGTCTCAGGTGGTTAGGTTGATAGGTCTCTCTTCTTCCAAAGCCCTCTCCCTAAGCACTAAAGGACTATCATTTAGTTAAGCCCCCTTTTCCTGATGTTGATAGAACTCTCATTTGGTTAAGCTTTTGCCTGCCCTAAGGTTGATAGGAATCGTGTTTGCTTAAGTCCCTGATGAAGGTATCAGGTCTTTCCCTTGGCTGAGCAGCAGAGCAAAGGCATTATGGCAGAATGTTATGCAGTGGTGTATACAGGGGTGTATTTACCACAAGGCAAATAAGGCATTTGCCTACGGCTGCATTTTTCAGGGGGGGCAGCACTGACCCTTGGAAAAAGGGATGGAAGAAGGGGCACACATGGCACAGGGACCTGGTGGGTTTCGAGAGATGCTTTGGGTTTCATGACGGTGTATACACAGCCCGACTCTTGTTCCTGGAGATGTCCAGAGCTGTGCAGGTGAGTGTCTTTCCCTCTCTCGCCATGGGGGATGGTGGCTGGTGTATATGGGGCAGTGGTAGTGGAAGGCTTGGATGAAGGGCAGAGGTGCTCTTGGTCAATGCCAGGCTCTTTCTGCGAGGGGGAGGCAATTTTTGTGTTGCCTAGGGCAGGACAAAACCTAAATACACCACTGGGTGTATATCATGACTTTTTTTGTACATAACCTGTAGTAATCTTAGAATCAAAGTGGAGTATTAATCTTTAGTAATAACTTCAGATTGATTGCTAAATGGTGGCCATTTGCACTACACATTTTGTTTAGTTTTATTAGACAAACTTGACACAGTTTGATAATATCCAGAAATGTGAATTTATTTGCTCACTGTGATTAGTTACGCTCACAACTGTATAATGTAATCCTCTACAATGCCACTAACTGACATTTATGTATTACCCTGTACTACATTTATCACTGACCATGCCCAATAATGTAATTCTGACACTAATAGGAGAGTCTATTTCTGTAAGACACAAACATTAAATATATATTACAAAGACAATATAACCATCCCTCTGTCATCTGATGTAATCGTCTTGTGTGTTGTGATGCTTTAAACATGATAAAAGACCAACTACAAGCTCCCCACCTCTCCCCCCTTCCCTGGAGGACCCCCCTTTACCCCCAGCAGTATGTTATGTTTTTTATAGCATACTGACCTTTTCCAGATGTCTTTGGGTGGGTCTATGTATCCCCTGCACTCACAGTATGTGAGTATGGCATTGCATGGTGCCGGACTGAGCACAAAATCTGAAGCCAGTTTCAGCCAAACATCTTTTAACTTTTGGATAGAATGAAAAGGTTTAGAATCTCTGTCAGGCTTGTATTGCTATCTCCCCAACAGAAAAATGTCTATACCTCATGTCTTTTTGACAGGTATCCACACAAGCAATTAAGGAAGTCTTGCCCTAAATGAAAGAAGGTAATAAAAACCTGACAGAGGACGTAACATGCTCCCACTCTATTCAAAACTATTGCACCCATCTGCTTTGGGAACTGCTAGACCCAAGTAGTCTGCAAACACTGATTTTTTGGTGTCAGTGCTAAAAGTGTCAGTCCACCAAAGGTGATAGTTTATTTATACTTGGAGCCTTGTGGACTGAGTCAACCATTGGCTTCTTAATTTCTTGGAATTTTTAACAGAGATATCTTGGTGCCATAATTCCTAACTGCATAATATAAGATCTAGGAACACAAGAATATGGTTAGCACTTCCGCCTGGCAGTACTAGGGTCGTTGGTTGGAATCCCAACCACAGCACCACCTGCCTGGAGTTTGCATGTTCTCCCTGTGCCTGCGTGGGTTTCCTCTGAGTACTCTGGTTTCCTCCCACCCTCCAAAGACATGCTGGTAGGTTAATTGGATCCTGTCTAAATTGGCCCTTATATATGAATGTGAGTTAGGGACCTTAGATTGTACGCCCCTTGAGGGCTAGGGACTGATGTATATGTATATATATATATATATGTAATATATATATATATATATATATATATATATACATATATATGCAATATATATGTAAAGCGCTGCGTAAATTGACGGCGCTATATAGGTACTTGAAATAAATAAATAATAAAGATCTCATAAAGAGTTGGGGTATTCCAGTGCTCTTTATGTTTATGATAAGCTAATAAAATCTTATCTACATCATTATTGAGCCTGTGTGGTCTGCATTGAATAACTATTATGTATTGTCGAAGTCGCTTCAATTATACAAATATGCATTGATACCTGATTGGAGCCCTGCCCTGTGTTTTAGCATATTTACCATATTTAGACAGCTGGATCTTCAGGACTTCCCATGGACTATTGAGATCCTGCTGTATCCACCATCTGGAAGGAGTAATACAAAAGGCCAATAAGTCAACTATCCAGTGCAGGTGTAATAATGTTTCTTGAAGTTATTGTGTGTGTATTCCTTCTCTGCACAGAGGAACACACAAATACAACACAAAATGGTTGATCTGAACATGAAAAGCTATGATACCCATAGACTTTCTATTCTTGTAGACACAAAGGCAGATAAACTCTTGTTGCTTATTGGAACACTCTATTTGAAACATTTTTTCCAAATAGGCTAAGCAGTCAGTGATGCCCTGAGCACATACATAAGGGCACATACAGGGTGAGTTGAAAGGCAGAAGAAGGGTTAAGAAAGCTTGGCAATGGTTTAAGGATTTGATGTAGGGAGCAGGAAGGATGTGGACATAGGTAAGGGAAGTCTCAAGGAGGAACAGAAACCGTAGTGACCAAATGTGGCCCACTCGCCCACAAGTCTGACACATTCCACGCAAAACCCCAAAAATGGACTGGACACAATTATTGGCATCCTCCATTTAATATTAGGTAGCACACCCCTTGGAAAAAATAACTAAGATGAATTGCTTCCTGTAACCATCAATGAGTTTCTTATACCTTTCTACTAGAATTCTGGACCACTTTTCTTTCGTCAACTATTCCAAGTCTCGAAGATTGAAAGGGTTCCTTTTCTCAACTGCTATTTTGAGATCTTTCCACAGGTGCACTATGGAATTGAGATCTGGACTCATTACTGGCCAGTTAAATAGTCTTTGTCTGAAACCATTTCAGGGTGTTTTTTTGATGTGTGCTTTGGGTCATTGTCCTGCTGTAAGACCCATGACCTCTGACGGAGACCCAACTTTCTGACACTGGACCCTACATTGCACCCCAGAAATCTTTTGTAGTCTTCAGTTTTCATAATGTCATGCACACGGTCAAGACATCCAGAGCCTGAAGCAGCAAAGCAACCTCAAAACATCAGTAACCCTCCACCATGTTTGACTGTAGGGACTGTATGCTTTTCTTTAACCACCTCACGCCCACCATATAAGGAAATGACAGACAGGGGATGGTTCTCTCGTTCTGGGAGGACATCATATGACGTCCTCCCACTCCAACTGCATATGAGCGCCCCTGGGGGCGGTGCGGTGCGGCGATTGGTGGTGTGCTGTGTCCCTGGCACACAGCGGATCACCGATCTGCGGAAAGAGCCAATGAAGTCAGCTCTGTCATGTGATCAGCTGTATCCAATCACAAGCTGATAGCATGTAAACAAGGAAATGCCGGTTATTGGCATTCCTCTCCTCACGCTGACAGTTCGTGAGGAGAGGAGAGCCGGTAAGCACCATTCCTCAGAGGGGACATGTACACTGACCATTGGGGCACTGATGATCAGTGTGCCCTGAGGATCAGTGCAGCCCCATCAGTGCCACCTGTCAGTGCCCATCAATGCCACCTGTCAGTACCCATCAATGCCACCTGCCAGTTCCCATCAGTGCCACATCAATGCCACATATCAGTGCCTACCAGTGCACATCAATGCCACATATCAGTGCCCATCTGAGCTGCCTTTCAGTGCCAACTATCAGTGCCAGTCAGTGCCACCTTATCAGTGCCAGTCAATGCCGCTTGGCAGTGCCCATCAGTGCCCATCAGTGCCGCCTATCAGTGCCAGTCAGTGCCATATATGAGTGCTGCCTTTCAGTGCCCATCAGTGATACCTGTCAATGCCCATCAGTGACACCTACCAGTGCCTCCTCATCAGTGCCCATCAGTGCCGCCTATCAGTGCCCATCAGTGCAGCCTATCATTGCCCATCACTGCAGCCTCATTAGCGCACATCAGTGAAGGAGAAAAATGACTTATTTACAAAATTGTATAACAGAAACTAAGAAAAAAATTTTTTTTTTTTCAAAATTGTCAGTTTTTTTAGTCTGTTTACCAAAAAAATAAAACAACCAGAGGTGGTTAAATACCACCAAAAGAAAGCTCTGTCTAAAAAAAATTATAAAAATTTAATAAGTACAGTGTTGCATGACCGTGCAATTGTCAAAGTGCGACAGCGTTGAAAGCTGAAAATTGGCCTGGGCAGGAAGGGGGTAAAAGTGCTCGGTAGGCAAGGCCTCGTTGCTTTTTCTGAAAACAGTAGAATGATGGGCTTTACCAAAAAGCTGTCATTTTGTATTGTCTGTCCACAGCACATTGGCAAACTCCAATCTGGCTTTTGTAAGTTTCTGTGTCAGCAGTGGAGTCCTCCTGGGTCTCCTATCATAGTGTCTCTTTTTATTCAGATGGCGACGTAGAGAGTGAACGGACACATTTGTACCCTGTGCCTGAAGGTCTGCTTGAATTTGTCTGGAAGTTGATCGAGGTTCTTTATCCACCATTTGAACAATCCTTTGTTGCAATCTTTGATCAGTTTTTTCTCTTTTGTCCACATCCATGAAGATTAGCTACAGTGTCATGGGCTGTAAACTTTTTGACAATGTTGTACACAGTGGACAGAGGAATATTAAGATCTCTGGAGATGAACTTGAGAAAGGATGAGTAAATTTTTCACCATTTACACTTGTTATCGGTGTGATTTCTATATTGTCAGCACCTGCTAATTGATACAAGTGAGTTAAATCACAAATTATAAGAGCATCACAAACTTGAAATGCACTTATTTCTTATTAATTTAAGAAGGTTCCAATAATTTTGTCCAGTCCATTTTTGGGGTTTTGCGTGGAATGTGTCAGATTTGGCTTTTGGTTTCTCCACTTTTTTGTGTCATAGCAATATTAATAAAAGTAATAAACATGAGAATGCCTAAACATTTGTAATTGCAACAATTTTCTGGGCGAAGTGGTGCATTATCTGATGCAGGGGTGCCAATATTTTTGTTCATGACTGTAGGTATGGGAAGACGATAGTGGACTTGTAGGGCATACCTTTGTCACAGCATCTGCGGGTTCTTAATGGTACCAAAAATGTAAGATCCCTGGTTAGTTTTATGAAGTATATTTAACTTTAAGAAGAAGTTACTATGGTTTATTCCAGGTGACTATTGGTGTACAAATTATTGGTGTGTTCCTACTATGCTGGTTGTGTATGTGTTTACAATGAACACATGAGTTTGGGTGGCATTATCAAGGACTTAACTTTAAAGGAGTAGGGCCAAAGCTCTTTTGGCCCAACTTCTCCTATGGATAACAGAAGTACACTTAGCTCTACACTTCTGTGACCCGGTTTCAGCTGACAGCGGGCAAATAAATAATAAGTCCCAAAAAATAGAATATGTACAATTAAAATACCGTACTTTTCGCTCCATAGGACGCACTTTTTTCCCCCAAAAAAGGGGGAAAATGTCAGTGCGTCTTATGGAGCGAATATGGAGCGGCCGGTCCGATATTTCCACCGCCGCCATGTAAGCTGTGCAGCGGGACCTTATGGAAATGACTGCTGGCCTTTGGGGAGGTGGGGAGTTGTTCTTTGACCTTACCTGTTCCTCTATCCAGCAGCGTGCTGTCTTCCCGGCTTCTGTAGTGTGGGCGCTCGGCATGACAGCCGGGTGCCAAGTGCGCATGCGCAAGAAGAGGTGCTTTTTGTGAATGGTAAGGCGGTACTGGGACACATGACAGATCCCAGAAGCCGCCGGACCACTCACAAAGCGCAAGTGCTTCTCGCTCATGCGCACTGGGCACCCGGCTGTCATGCCAAGCGCCCACACTACAGAAGCCGGGAAGACAGCGCGCCGCTGGATAGAGGAACAGGTAAGATCAAAGAACAACTCCGTGGAAGTAAGAGCGGGTACCTGTCAGATTCAGGTACCCGCTCCCCCTCCCTCCCCAAAGGTCAGCAGTCATTTCCTATACTGTGTCCGCAGTCTCTGGTCATCCCTGTGCTGTCTGCAGTCTCTGGTCATCCCTGTGCTGTCTGCAGTCTCTGGTCATCCCTGTGCTGTCCACAGTCTCTGGTCATCTCCTGTACTATGTCTGCAGTCCATTAGTTCAGAATTTTTTTTTCCTGTTTTCTGCCTCTAAAACCTAGGTGCGTCTTATGGTCAGGTGCGTCTTATGGAGCGAAAAATACGGTATATACACCAGAAAAATAAATATATACAGAAAGCCTAACTACAGCTCTATGCAGCTAGCAGACATCAATAAAGAACATACTGTATGTACAAATTATTAATATTATTATTATACAGGATTTATATAGTGCCAAAAGTTTGCTCAGCGCTTTACAATATAGCGGGAGACAATACAGCAACAATACAGTTCAATACAAGAGGGTTAGGAGGGCTCCTTGGAGCTTACAATATAAGAGAGAATAATACATAATAGCATTAACATGTTGGAATGGAGCACCTCCTCCTGGAAGGAAGTAACAGAAATTTAAATCACCAGAAAGGCACTTGAAAAGTCCCCAAGTCCAACATTTGAGTAGAGGACAGCTGTCTATAGTAAACCTGCAAAGAAAAAATAAACAGAAACACAGCAACCCTCACAACTAACTAAACTGTCAGAACATTCTACCAGCAGGGGATTATAGGCCTGCTGAAAGAAAGACACAAAAGAGGCACTTCAGTATGTTGTTTTAAAATTGCGCATCACGTAGCAATTTTTAAACCAGACCTCACCCCATATTCTCTCCAATGATCACACATCTGGCAAAAAGGGTGAATGGTACTAGTCCGACCTAGTCCACAAAATAAGAAAGAAATAAAAGGGTAATAAATTCCTCTGTATCTCAAGCAATAGCTGCCCTCCTACTCTCTTCAGGCTGGAATCCTGCGTCAGCCCACTTTTTTTTAGCAGTATATCCTAGGACTTGGCAGTCTTGTAATCTCACTATCAGATTTCCAGGCAGCTTCCCACTGTGGACGAGAAGTCTCAATTATGTCCATAACATCCTAAGGGACATAGGGATAATAAAGTCCCCAAGCCAAGTGCAGTTCTCTTTTGAATCTCCGTTGAGAGTGCGAGAAAGTTCCTGCATCCTGCCTTGCCCAGGGAGTACGCAAGATTGTGGAGACCGGACAATCATCTGCTTGTAGGCAGCATTTTTGGGTTTAATTCTGACCCATGTACCTACTGGTCCCAGCTGGATCCATTGCTAGACATTCCTCAGTGCAAAATAACAGCTGCTCCACTTCCTCTGTTTTTTCAGCTAGTTCTGGTGTTGTGGATCTCTCTTTCTGAACCGTCAGTGATCCTGACTCTTCCTGAGTGTCTCCCCAGTCCCATTCTTCTTCCGTCTCACTATCTAGGAACTAATCATCACAGCTTGCCCCCAGGGGCCCAAACTCTGCCTGCAGTCTGGATGACCCCCAGTCTACCCATTCACCACTGCCACTCCCCACTGGCTCACCTAAAGACGAGCTCTCTTCACACTCTGTCTCCTTCCAAGTGGGGCTGACAAGGCGTACAGATACAACCTGTTTTTCCGGGACACTTGCTGGTTCCTGTTGGGCAGCACTGGTGGACACCAACCCTTCAGCAGCATCTCCTTGCGAGCTGTAAGAGGTGGCAGGCTTTAAACTTCATCTCGGTCCTGTGATTCGACCCCGCTCTCAGCATCAGTCTCCCAACTTTCTCCAGCCTCTAGGACTTTCTCACCGGTGCTGCTCCGTGCATAGGCCTGATTGCAGGTCCACATTGTAGGTGATGGATGCCAGATCGCTGGGTGTCAGCTTCATCAGCAGTTCCCCACAGTGTCCGCACTTGATCCATGTGCTGACCAGGGTAATAGGTCTTCTGCAACCGGGGCATATCAGACACCTCTCTACTCCTTCGATCAGAAACCCCCCTCGGTTCTCCAGACACAGTCCACCAGGGTCATCTCTGGCCTCTCCTGTAACAGAAGCTTATGGAAGACTTGTACACTGTCCTCCATCTTGCTACTCTCTCTCACTTTCTTTCCACACCGGGGCAAACTTAAGAGCGTGACCCCGCCCCTCACTTGGACTTGTTGGCGCAGCACAGGATTGTTCCCGTGCTTGTGTTAAACATTGCTCAGCCAAGCTGGATTGCATGGGCTCCAAATGTTCTGTTTCCCGACAGGAATACTTGAACAATCCATGTTGACTGGCATAAGTAGAACTTGTAGAAACATAACATTTATCCCCCCAGCCAATGTTGGGCAACTGGGTGATGCTGGTGGAAACATTGGCCCACAGTGGTTGTTATGGGCAACGAAGTACATTACAGTGCATTTCTTCCTGATGTTAGCAGTTTTTTAAAGGACAGTCCTGGACCCGAGCTGCTGTTGGGTGAATGAGAGGTATTTATAGTCCACAAAAATGGCGATGGCTCATTTTGGTTGCTATGGATGACAGTATAGAGATCAGCATAGTTATTTTGACATTAGCAGGGTTTTAATTAGGATAGTCAAAATCATCCAGTCACTGTTGAGCGACTGGATGATTTTGTAGTCCACGTGAATGCGGCATCCTGCCATGGTTGCTATGGACGACGGCATGCAGAGCGACAATACAGTTCTCACTGAAATGAGCAGGTTGAAGATTATCACAATCTTTAGCTCCAGCCACCTGTTGAGCAGCAGGAAGACATTCAAACTTCACAGAAATACACAGGCCTGGGCATGGTTGCCAAGGGCAACAGCACAAGTA